AAGATCGGGAAGAAATTTCCTCAGGTACAAGATCGGGAAGAAATTTCCTCAGGTACAATATCCCAGTAGCTGGCAAAGACTTTGTGTTGAATAGGAGTTTCTGAGCTGACGCACACTCATATTGAGTGGGCATTATTATTTATTATCTCAGGCCAGCAGGCATAAACAGGGTGATGGACATGTGGTATGAACAAAAGAATATGCATGAAAAAGTAATCATAACTTACTACATGGCAAACCTGTAGCTATTCTTTATAATCATGTGAACACTGAATACTAATCCAAACAAAATGATAAAATAACCAGAGTGGAAAGATGAGTGAGTGGATGAGGGTACACGAGTGTGATAGGAATGGGAGGGAAAGAGAACTAAATCCTCATTTTCTATAGTAAGAACCTGATAGATAATGCATAAGACTGAAAAATCAAGAAGTGGCCAAATAAGCATGTTATTTAGAAATGAAAAGGTAAACACCAAATTCAGCCACTAAATCATTGGTGAATGCAGTTTCCTTGGAGAAAAGAAGATGGGCAGAAAAGGAATTGGTGCCTCTTTAAGTTTTACATATATATGTCTTTAATATAAATAAAAAGTAGGGGTTTTTGTTTTGTTTAAGAAAGAAGGGAAAGATGGAAGAGAAGAAGGAAAGAAGGGAGCAACGTGTCTACTTTTCATCTGGTGTAGCTAAAAATATTCATAGAAACGTCAAATCCAAACTGCACTTGGTAGTTCTTCTAAAGAATACTTATTTTGTTTTGGTAAGTTGCAGGTAAAGAGACAGACAAAACCTATAAAGGGAAGAATCTCCCTTAATATTTACAGGAATGGGGAAATAAGGGCAGGCTGAGATGACGCTCTGGCATGCCTTGGAAATACATGTTCAGAAATGGGTTATCCACAGTATGCTTCCAAAGCCATAAACATTGCATTTTTTATTTTCTTAGCTGAGTTTTCAGTTACCAGCAGATGTTATTGAGCAATCTGGAAATAGATATTGTAAAAATAAAGCGAAAAAAAAATGTCTACCCACACCTTTTCTGTCATTGCTATGTTCTTGTGGTTGACACTACTTCACTCTAACAGATATTGGCTCTTATAAAGCCACCAACAGCCCAATTGTCATTTGATTTTCAGAAATATTAACCAACATGGTATAATTAGAACCAAAGAAAATGTTGTGTAGATGGCACGTTGTCATCACTGACTTAACCCCCTCAGAAGTTCAGGGAAAGGTCAAGTTTTTATTGATTTCTTTTGTATTTTTTTTAAGTTTATTTATTTTGAGAAAGAGAGAGAGATTGCATGAGCAAGTGCAAGCAGGGGAAGGGGCAGAGAGGAAGGGAGAGAGAGAATCCCAAGCAGGCTCTGCACTGTCAGACAGAGCCTAAGGTGGGGCTGGACCTCATGAAACGTGAGATTATGACCCGAGTCGAAATGAAGAGTCGAATGTTTAACCAACTGAGCCACCCAGGTGCCCCGGTCATGTTTTCATGTCTACCAATGATGCATTTTGTGTCCTGTACGAAGGTTTTTATTTGTTTGTTTGTTTGTTTTAATTTGTTTTAATATTATTTATTTTTGAGAGAGAGAGAGAGAGACAGAGTACCAGCAGGGGAGGGGCAGAGAGAGAGTGGGACACAGAATCTGAAGAAGGCTCTGGGCTCCAAGCTGTCTGCACAGAGCCTGACACAGAGCTCAAACTCATGAACTGTGAACTGTGAGATCATGACCTGAGCCAAACTTGGACGCCCAAGCGACTGAGCCACCCAGGCTCCCCTGGAGGCTGTTTTTAGAGGTTGCTTCCTGGTGGATGTATATTCCTGGTGCCCCCAAACCCTCTTGCTATAGATACAATTGTCTTACCTTCTTGAGTGCATTTAACTTATCAAGCCATGAAAAATTGATAGGTACAATGGGACTCAGCTGGCACCAATTCCTAATAAGGATGTCCATATATTACTTTTTAGCACTATTTCTTAATAGATTTTCATTATAAAACATTTGCTAACTCAGCTCAAATCCTTGGACTCAAAAGTAGGAAAACAATCTAACTTAATGTCCACACCCTTAAGCAGCCACCCCTTGCTTCTGTTAGCACAGTGGAACCAACACAGTAGGACGGGAAAAAGATACACATTTAGAACTGACTTACTAGACTCAGTAGAACTGACTAACTCCATGAGTGTCTTGCTATTTTTGAGATATTTAACCACTTTGAACCTAGTCTCTCTATCAGGAAAATCAAGAACGTAAGTTCTTCTTTACACATGCTCTACCATAGTAAGTACCTTACTTACAGAAGACACTCATCAAATACAAATGCTTCCTTGCCTCTTCTTGAAGGATGGGGAAAGAGTACACAGGCTTCATGCCTACTTTTCCTTTTACATGACTAGGTTCCACACGCCCTCCTTTTGCTTGGGATACAAGAAGAAATTAGCCTATGAAAGACCTCCTTGTGAACTTGTATTCAATTCTCTTCGGAGGAGGTGGAAAATCAGATCAACCCCTTGCTCTTTCACTTTTGAGTCTGGACTTCTTAAATCATTGAGAGAGATTTTTTTTTTCCTAGTGACACTGTCAAATCAAAGGCTAGCCAGGGCCAACTGGATTGCCCTCTTGGGAAGGGGTCTCTTAATAGAGATTGCTTGATATCAGTAACTCACTGTCATCAATTTTCAGGAAGTTAGGAGGAAAGGCAGTGAAGAAAAATCACAAACTATAAGAGACATAGAGGTGGGGATAAATTTTTTTTATAAATTAGCAGTTTGTAAGGAGGAATTCCTCATCTTTTCTCTTTGGGTATCATCTATAATATGATCTTATGTTTGTGCATTCTACACAAAATGGAAAAATTTTACAGGTCCTTAACATAGATAACCCCAATGTGCAGATATAGAAACTGTTCACAGAGACCAAGAGCCTTGACCAAAATAATACAGTTAATTAGTAATGGATCCCATTTCTGTCCATGCACTTTCTTTTCATGTATACAAGTGTGTACAAAACCTGTATTTTTGTGTGCTGTAGAGTTATGTCACTGCATTGTTGTGCTATTTAAGAATTAGATACTAGGCTTTCGATTTATTTTGAGGAACTCTCAACAAAAGTCATGCTTTCTATTTAGGTGAGACAATTTAAGTGGCGAGTATAAAAGGAGAAGCTGGGCGGTTTGAGAATCCAAATAGAAAACAAGGAAATTGTCTGACACCTCATTGCTAACTCTAGAAATAAAAATGAGACTGTTGCTTCCCTCCTTCATATTGTTCTTAGGTCCTTCTCTGAACGCAAAAACGTCAAAGATGCTTTGCTAAAACCCAGAAAGCTGCTATGCAACCTACATATGAAATTATTTCTCTCTGCCTTTAATCCTGAAGATCTAGAATTCTGCTATTTAAGAAACAAACATGTTGTGTCAGAAGGAAGGAGAACATAATAGTAGACATCTGAATCAACTGTCAATCTAGTTTTCCAGCTTGTCATTGCTCCTTAGACACTGTGTGAAGATCTCTCAGAAATGAAACTGATTTACCATAAAATGTGCCTGTTTTCCATTAAATCTTGCTCGTGGCTCCACTGAGGCACTGAAGTTACCAACATGTCATGGGTTCACCCTGCAGGGCCACCTCTTGGTCTTGTTAGTCCAGAAAATGAACCATGCATAAGAGAGGCCTCGGGGAAAGAGATTTTATTTGAATCAGTTATTTTGCACATTGCTTAAACTAGAGATGTTAGCAGTTCTTTGAAGAGAGCAGCATTAGTCAGACCCTTGGGGGCAAGAGTGGGAAATGGAACTTACCCTCTCACATGCTTGATTGAAACATATCAGTTGAGGCAGGCATAGGGCAGGACATGAGAAATCTGTTTTCAGAGGCTTGGTAGAATGGGTGAGGGCAGAATAATCCTTCATATCCTAGTTAAAATTCCAGAGCTGCTGCATGCCCATCATACGACTTTGATGGAGCCCTTTAACCTTCAAAATTTACTTTCTTCATATGTAGAATGGGCATGATGTGACTAACTCAAGAAGTTGTTGTTGGAATAAATAACATATGGAAGGTCATCGTCCCAGTTGTGATCATCAGTATGTACACATAAATGTCATCAATCTTAATGATCATGATCCTGATGATTAGTTATTTTAATCCAGGCACTGACATTTACCAGCTATATAGCTCTGGGTGCAGAATTCTGAGTTTCAATTTCTTCCACTGGAAAATCAAGAGAATCATATTTACCTTGCAAAGTTGTTTGGAGGACCAGAAATGGTGTATGGAAACTACCCTGTCCCAGTATCCAGACCAGCTCAAGTATATTCTTATGATAATTTGTTGTTCTCATTGCTTCCATGGCTACCTATTATTTACATAATAATTTGTTTATGCTTGAACTATGTCATGTTTGATATTAAGGTTGGCTCTTCCTGATATGATAAATTTTATACACCAGTTCATCTGATAAATGTTTACTTAAGAAATAGACAAGGCTTCTGTTTCACTAAGTGTCTGTTCCACCTCCCTTGGGCATAACTACTCAAAAGATTGTGGCTGAGAGTCAAACCAGTATCCTCTACTATGAGCAGGACTTATCAGAGCCACTGTGAAAGGGACGCCCAAAACATTCCCCAGCTTATAGAAATATTTACTTTCAGCAATTTTGTCAAGGCAGAAAACACAACCAGGATTAAAGTGTCTAGGGAACATTTTATTCCTTCTGGCCTCAACTTCCTGGGTGTCTATTGTCATATGCTGGTTTATCTGTAGAAGAAAAATGGACTTTACTGAATAGCATTCTGGACTTATTAGTCATCTAGCCTACACACTTGATACCAGAATCTTGAGTCAATTGTTAATTGGACCCACATGGTTGTAACACATCTTTTAAACCGTGCCAAAATGCATTCTTTTCAAGTGGAAAGAAGAAGAAGAAGAAGAAGAAGAAGAAGAAGAAGAAGAAGAAGAAGAAGAAGAAGAAGACGACGACGACGACGGTGGTGGCAATTGAGAATACAGAGCTCAAAATATGGAAGAACACGTAGTTTCTTTTGAAATCCTAAGTACTTATTTTTTTTGGCTCTATGGTGCCAGTCTATCTGACTACCTCTTCCTACCAATTTAACCCTCTTTGGCAGCTGTTACTTAAAGATTCCACTACCAGAATTGAAGTTGTCCTTCTAGAGATCTCTCTAAGGATCCTAAAAGCCCTACTCTTGAATTAGGTCTATTTTTTTCCTCACAGACCTACATTTCTAAATGAGATTGGTGAACTAGTTGATGAAGTTGAAACTCCCCTTCAGGGAAGTTAGGCCTCTTCACTAACTATTCTATAATATGTTGGTTTCGTTGTCTTAGCCTGAGTTTCATCCCAAAAAAGAAGAGCCCATGACAAGGCGAAAGTAATTTGGGGGCAGTAATCCTAAGGAATAAGAGTAAAGGTCCTGGTAGAGTGCAACTGGGAACAGAAAGATAAACCGAGGTGTATTATCAAACCGTTCATTACTGGGCAAGTGGACCTTGATCTTGCTGGAGACTGAGATGCTGTGTAAAATGTGAGTCAGAGTTGTTCACCTAGGGCTGAAACAATAGATGATTTGTCCAGTCTCCCATCCTCCACTGGTCAAGGGTTGCCCATTGAGATGTTAGCATTTTCTCCCTTTTGGGTTTGTCCATGCAGAAGAATGGCTGAACAGGTTCCCACAGGCATCTCCCCACAGAGGTGACAAAGAGGCCAGAGCAGAAAGTAACAGTGTCACAGGGCAGCTAAGATGAGGTACAGTCTAGTTTTCACCTGCCACTGCGATGACTGAAGTAAAAAGAGCTCCTCTGAGGTAATATAAAGCAAGGCACAGAGGTGACCTAATTGCTTATATGCCTGCAATGGTGTCATTCACATTAATAAGATTTTCTTCAGTATTTTGTCAACTCTCACAAACTGTAAACAAAACCTCATCACTTCCGTTCTAAAGCCTGACAGCAGAGAGCCCAATGCAGAGCTTGAACTCACAAACTGCGAAATCATGACCTGAAGTTGGATGCTTAGCTGACTGAGCCACCCAGGTGCCCCAATAGTTAATGTATATTTTTAAAACTTCCCATGGGTCCACCTTATTTTCAAATTATACATTTTAAAAGTAAATATTTTAAAATATTCATTGAGCAGTTATCATGCAAGATCTTTTTGAGGACAAGGCAGGAAACAAAAAGAATAAAACATATCTTCCCCACAAGGAGTTTACCAACTACTCAGGGAGAAAGGATAAGACAGATAATTTTAAAGGTTGAGTGAAGCTAATAAAGGGAGTAGGAGCAATACTGAATATATGCTAAATTTGTAGCAGTTATTCAGCAGATACTAATTAATGCTATAGAATCCTACACAGACATTTAGAAACATGATAGCCTGATCTGACATGGAAGGAAACAAACATGGATACAAACACATAGAAATGTTGGACAAAATAAAGTTAATCTGTTTTAAATACCTCTGCTCCAAAGAAGAAAAGAGCTATTTCCAGAAGTCAAAATTAAAAACTGCCTTTGGAGGAGTGCCTGGGTGGCTCAGTTGGTTAAGCGTCAGACTTTGGCTCAGGTCATGATCTCACGGTTCATGAGTTGAAGCCCTGCTTGGGATTCTCTCTCTCTCCCTCTCTCTCTCTGCCCCTCCCCCACTCATGCTTTCCCCCTCTCAAAATAAATAAATAAAAACTTTAAAAAATAATTTAAAAAATGGGCACCTGGGTGGCTCATTTGGTTAAGTGTCTGACTTTGGCTCAGGTCATGATCTCACGGTCTGTGAGTTCAAGCCCCGCGTCAGGTCCTGTGCTAATAGCTCAGAGCCTGGAGCCTGCTTCAGATTCTGTGTCTCCCTTTCTCTCTGCCCCTCCCCCACTCAAGCTCAGTGTCTCTGTCTCTCACAAATTAATAAACATTTGAAAAATGTTTTTATATTAATAAAAAATTAAAAACTGCCCTGGGAATCTAGAGCTGAGGTTTTAATGCCCATGAGATAATAGAGGCTGTGGCTTCATGGGGGTTAGAAGTGGAGGAGCTGGAATTGAGTCTCAAAATAATAGTCAGACCCACAAGGAGCTTCCTGGTTTATGAAAAAAATGAATCTAGAAAAATTATCCAACTAACCAAAGTAACAGGAAAATCCTGCCGTATAGATACAAATTTAAACTAGTGTGTAGTACAAAATTTACAGCCAAAAAATTAGTAATATAATTCATACAGACCATTGTAATAGCTAGGGCTCATTCAGTGCAAAACTCAAAACTGATTCTTTTACATTTACAACCTAGGAATCACAGAGGCCCTCAACAAAATTCTTCATTGCAAATAGGTCTCCATAAAAAATTACAGTATGCATGAAAAAATGAACTACCATGATGAGAAACAGCAGATGCAATAAACAGAAAAACTTGTCACTGTGACAAATGTAAAAAACAATTCTAAAATAAGTTTGTGTCAGTGAGCTTTTGCTGCATAACAAAACTCCCAACTTAAGCAACTTAAAACAACATCATCTCAATTTTTTGAGAGATAATATTTTTTATTCAATTTAAACTATTAAAAAAAACTGAGAAACAGTTCAAACATTTCTCCCACCATTCCCCATACCTTTGGTGACCACTAATCTGTTCTCTGTATCTATGCGCTTGATTGATTGAGTGATTGATTTCTTTATTTTTAGATTCCATATATAAAAGAGCTCATACAGTATATGTCTTTCTCTGTCTGACTTATTTCACTAAGCGTAATACCCTCAAGGTCCATCCATATTCACACAAATGGCAAGATTTCATTTCTTTTTATGACTGAATAATGTTCTACTGTATAGATTTACCAGTTTCTTTATCTATTCATCCAGTGATAGACACCTAGGTTGTTTCCATATCTTGGCTATTATAAATAATGCTGCAATAAACATAGGGGTACATATATCTTTTCAGGTTAGTGTTTCCATTTTCCTTGGATGAATACACAGAAAAGGAATTGCTTGATCATACGGTAGTTCTACTTTTCGTATTTTGAGGAATCTCCATACTGTTTTCCATCATGGCTGTACCACTTTACATTACTGCCAGTAGTTCACATGAGTTTCTTTTTCTCCACATCCTTGCCAACACTTGCTATTTCTAACCTTTTTGAAAACAGCCATTCTAGCAGGGGTGAGGGGTTTTGATTTGTATTTCTCAGATGATTAATGATACACAGTATTTTTCATGTGCTGTTTGGCCACCTGTATGTCTTTTTTAGGAAAAAAAAAAAAAAAGCCTACTCAGATTTTCTGCTGATTTTTTATTTGAATTATTTTTTTGTTTCTTTTGCTATTGAGTTGTATGAGTTCCTTATGTATTTTAGATATTAACTCCTTATTGGATATATCATTTGCAAATATTCACTTTCATTCAGTAGGTTACATTTTCATTTTGTTGATCAATTCTTTGCTGGGCAGAAGCTTTTTAGTTTGATGTATTCCCACTTGTTTATTTTTCCTTTTATTGCTATTGTTTTTGGTGTCAGATTCAAATAACACCTATGCCAAGAAGCTTACCACCTAGGCTTTCTTCTAGGGATTTTATGATACCAGGTTTCACATTCAGTCCTTTAATCCATTTTGAGTTAATTTTTGTATATGTTGTAAAATAGTGGTCCAGTTTCAGTCTTTTGCATGTGGTTGTCCAATGTTCCCAATATTATTAATTGAAAAGACTGTATGTTTTCCATTGCATATTCTTGCCTCTTCTGGGTTTATTTCTGGGCTCTCTATTCTGTTCCATTGATCTATATGTCTGTTTTTATGTCAATACCATACTATTTTAATTACTATAGCTTTGTAATATAGTTTGAAATCAGGGAGCATGATCCCTCCAGCTTTGTTATTCTTTCTTAAAATTACTTTGATTATTCAGGTGTTTATGATTCCATACAAATTTTAGAATTGTTTGTTCTATTTTTGTAAAAAATGCCATTGGAATTTTGATGGATATTGCATTAAATCTGTAGACTGCTTTGGGTAGTATGGACATTTTTTTTTTTAATTTTAAAAGTTTATTTATTTATTTATTTATTTATTTATTTGAGAGAGAGAGAACTGGGTGGGGTAGAGAGAGAAAGGGAGAGAGAGAGCATCTCATGCAGAATCTCATGCAGCACAGAGATAGACATGGGGCTCGATCTCCTGAACCATGAAATCATGACCGGACATGAAATCAAGAGTCCTACACTTAACCAACTGAGCCACCCAGACACCCCTAGTATGGATATTTTTAACAATATTAATTCTTACAATCCATGAGCAGGAAATATCTTTCCATTTATTTGTGTCTTCTTCAATTTCTTTCATTAATGTCTTATGGTTTTCAATATATAGGTCTTTCACCTCCTTAACTAGATTCAATTTATTCCTATTTTATTCCTTTTGATGCAACTGTAAATTGGATTGTTTCTTTTATTTCACTTACTAATAGTTTGTTATTAATATCTAAAAATACAACAAATTTTTGTGTATTGACTTTGTATTCTGCAACTTTAGTGAAATCATTTATAGGTTCTAACAGTTTTTTAATGGAGTCTTTAAGGTTTTCTCTATATATAATATCATGTCATCTGCAAATAGTGAGTTTTACTTCTTCTTTTCCAACTTGTATGACTTTTTTTCCTTTTTGTACTTAATTTCTGTGGCTAGGAACTACAATACTACATTAAATAAAAGTGGCAAGATTTCATATCCTTGTCTTATCCCTGATCTTAAA